AGATGGCCCAAGCACTTGGGCCCCTGCATCCACGTGGGAGACCCAGAGTTATAGGCTCCTGGCTGCCATCATGCCATTATGGCATATTGGGGAGTAAACCAGCAGATGAAAATTTCTCTTTCTTTCTCCTTCTCTGTAACTCTTTCAAATAAATAAATAATTCTTTTTTTTAAAGAAAGGAAACTCAAGGTAAAAAAGGAAAATCAAAACCCCGTAACTATCTTTCAGTTTGTTTTCTTTCAGTCTAAACAATTGTAGGTTGTGTCTACTGCTATTTGCTTCTAGAAGGAAGCACATGCTAAATGGTTCTAACTCCCAGTAACAACAAATTTATATTTCCCTGTTTTAGTTTAAAAAAAAAATCAGCTCAGGGGCCGGCACCATGGCTCACTTGGTTAATCCTCCACCTGTGGCAACAGCATCCCATGTGGGTGCTAGTTCTAGTCCCGGTTGCTCCTCTTCCAGTCCAGTTCTCTCCTGTGGCCCAGGAGGGCAGTGGAGGATGGCCCAAGTGCTTGGGCCCCTGCACCCGCATGGGAGACCAGGAGGAAGCACCTGGCTCCTGGCTTCGCATGGGTGCAGCGGCGGTTGTAGCAGCCATTTGGGGAGTGAACCAACAGAAGGAAGACCTTACTTTCTGTCTCTCTCTCTATGACTCTACCTGTCAAATAAAAAAAAAATCAGCTCAAACAAGAAAATATGTTTTAGATTAGTTTAAATCTGTGAATCAGCTATATATGCTCAACCCAATGATTGAAATGACAACCATGCAATGTATGCAAAGATTATGTCCATGTTATGTTGAACCACATGAAACTGGCAATCTTCGGGAGTAAGTATTTGACCTGGCTCTTCAGATGCTCATGTCCCACCCTGGAGTGCCTAGGTTTATTCTTGGTTACAAATCCTGATTCCAGCTTCCTATAAATGACACCTGGGGAGGCAACAGTGATGGCTCAAGTAGTTAGTTGGGTTCCTGCCACCCACATGACCCAGCCCTGGTGGCTGTGGCCATTTGGAAAATGAAGTAGCAGATGACAGCTCTATCTCCATCTCTTTGCCTCTCAAATGAATAAATAAAACTAAAATATAAAAGCTGGCCATATTGGACTAAATATGATATGTAAAAACAATTTCCTGTGATCCAACTTAATAACAATAATCAAAATGATGACTTCACATCACTTTGAGTCAACTTTACCTTCAATTGTATACTGGTGGGGGAAGGTAAGTTTAACAAGAGATTTAGTAAGTGTGACAGAAAGTTTGCTTGCTAAGTTCTAATTTACAGGCTCAAGCAGAAAAGGAAAGACAAAGAGAAGGATGAAAAAAACAAAAAGGAGAACAAAAGAAGAACAGTAACAAAAAGAAAAGAAACAGATCATGGGAGCAGTTGTTTTCTTTTAAAAAGACTTGAAACTGTCATTTTTAGGAGCCCACAATTGTAAATACAGAGAACAGATGTAATTTACCCCACATGTATGAATAAATATACTATATACATGGTTAAAACATTCGAAGTGCACTTCAAAAAGTTTATGGAAAATGGAATTAGAAGTTAATTATGGTTTAAAAATGTTTGAAAACAATACATACAAGGATTGTATTGTGAAAAATTATGCCTGGGTTTCAAAATTTTTTTGTGCCAAAATAAACTTATCTTTTTTTTTTTTTTTTTTTGACAGGCAGAGTGGATAGCGAGAGAGAGAGACAGAGAGAAAGGTCTTCCTTTGCCGTTGGTTCACCCTCCAATGGCCGCCGCGGCCGGCGCGCTGCGGCCGGCGCACCGCGCTGATCCGATGGCAGGAGCCAGGAGCCAGGTGCTTTTCCTGGTCTCCCATGGGGTGCAGGGCCCAAGCACCTGGGCCATCCTCCACTGCACTCCCTGGCCACAGCAGAGGGCTGGCCTGGAAGAGGGGCAACCGGGACAGAATCCGGCGCCCCAACCGGGACTAGAACCCGGTGTGCCGGCGCCGCTAGGTGGAGGATTAGCCTAGTGAGCCGCGGCGCCGGCCCAATAAACTTATCTTTTAATTCTATTTTCCCACAATCTTTAAATTTGTTTTAAATTTCATTTCCATTTATTTGAAAGGCAGAGAGTCACAGAGATATTCTGTGTCTGTTCACTCCTCAATACTTAACACCTAGGTCGGGGCCGGTCCAAAGCTAGGTGCTCAATACTCCATCCAGGTCTCCCATGTTGGTGGAAGGGACCCAAATAATTGTATTATCACTCGCTGCCTCCCAGGGTCTGCATTAACAGGAAGACGGAATCTGAAGTGGAGCTGGAACTCACAACCAGCCATTCTGATATGGGATGCAGGCATCTCAAGCAGCATCTAACTTCTACAGCAAATGTCCCCCTACTCCACAACCTTTTTAAACTTCCATCATATACAGGAGATTAACACTTACTCAGAACTTATTAAGTATTATCAAGAAGTTTATGCACTTTCCCATTAAACATGAATGAGAACAACATGAGATTGGAGGAATCATACTCATTTTAAATGGTAACTGACAGCCACTGTTCAAGGACATTTAGCTACTAAGGAATAAGTTGAGATCTGAAGCCAGTTCTGACTCCAAAGTCTTTATCTTTCCTAACTCATCCTAGTGTACATAACACAATGAACTCTACTATTTATGCAAGAGTCTGTTTTTAATTTGAATGCCTGTCAGTTTAAATCAGGAGCATAAGATAAAATATTTCAGATTGTATGGTTTAAGTATGTTGAGGAAGAGGGTAGCCATTTCATATGCTAAGAAGCACTCTAAAGCACAGGTAACTTGAAAATAAATTCAACAAATATTTGAGGTTCTATTGTATGTCAAGCATTGTGAAGAGAGATCTGCAGTTTCAGTTCCATAATGATGTAGAGACAGAGGTAAAAGTGGTGAACATTCACCATTAATAAATGTAAATGGGAATATTCAAATACCCACCATTTTCACATGTACAGCAGTCTCTTGATTAGTCATTTCTTGGTTATCCAATCTTCTGGATTTTCCCAGGTGATGTCACAGCAAAAAAGAGAAAAAAGGGTACATGTGACATACTTAAATCTCTGGCTCTTCTTGTATGCTAATGACATACTAATGTGGTAATTTTGGTATGACTTAAATACCAAGTTATTACAGGCATCCTTTCATTTCTAAGAAGCTCAGCAAAGGTTTTCTCTATCCAGCAAAGCTCTGAGTTAAATTTTCTATGGAGAATTTGAAGCTCTCCTGTAAGAGCTTACATGGTGTTAACAAGATATGAATAGAGCATAAGCTTTATTCCAAGAATATTGTATCAACAGTGTTGGAAAAGTATGTGCTGTTCCTACTGAGTTAATGTAGGAATATATGAATAGAACAAGAGAAATATATAAGTCCAATTTTCTTATATTAAAATCTTTAATTTTGTGATATGCTATTATCTGAGTTGTATTTGAATCCATCATAATGTCTGGCACAAAATAAGCATGTGACAATGCTTCTTAAATGAATAACCAGTTTTAGGGCTTTGGTGAAATTTATATGTATCTATTCACTACACTAAAAGAAGCAGTTTTTAAAACATTCTTCATTATTATTTAAATTTCTTCTTTTATGGTATAGATCTTAGGAAAATAATTTATTTTTGTTCTATACAGACTTCACTTTTACTTTATTCTGGATAACTAAAAATTTCTAATCAAAGAACTATTTTAGAAGGGCAACTTAAGTGAAGAGGGAAAAGTCTTGACTCCCTTAAACTGTAATAACAGAGGTAGACATCAAATCTGTGCTCTTGATAATTAAAAGGTATTATAGCAGATATACAAAATTTCCTCAGATTCTAACTATAGCCTCTTCTGCCTTCTATTTTCAGTACATGCAATTGCGTGATGTCTTTTTCTCCCCTCTCTCAGATGGTCTCATAATTGATGGTGTCTTAAAGTTGAATATAGTTTTTCCGAATAGTAAGATGATACTTGCAATCTCTCACATCTGAAAATCAATGTATCTGCAGAAGTATATATGGATATATTTTTTTCTAAAACATTTGATCACTACCCACAAAATGTTATTATAATGGCAGTTTAGGGGTTAGTAGTCTTTAGATACTTACGATCAAATTTAAGTAATTTTCCTTGATCTAACTTCTACCAAAGTCATCTTTAAGAAAATCATAGATGTGTAGCAGTCTGCTTCTTCATTTACAGAAATCAAAGCATAAATACTAAATGTTAACACCTTTTCTCTGATGTTTAATGTTAGAAAGGGGGTCAAGACTTTTTCAAATGGTACTGTTTAAATAAAAACACTTTAATAGTTTGAAAAAGAACGTTGAAAAGTACAGTTGAGTTTATAAATATGTCATATGATCTGTGATAAGTTCAAAGGAAAACAGAATCCAGGCAGTGAAAAAAATTAAACACATTTTCATATCTGGGAATCTAAGATCTTTCTCTATTGCAAAGTCAGGCAGCACAATTCCTCCCCAGCATCTACTGCCAAGTATGGCCCCTTTTTGAACACTCATTTTTAGTTTAAACCCACAGAAAAGGAGTCAGTATTAGTACATAAAATTATAATAATTTCTCTCACAGTCTCTTCAACTTTTATTTCAATAAAACACAAACAAAAAATAAAAATAGATCAGAAATTTGATAATGGCCAACTTTAGGGCTTTTTTTTTTCCTGACAACTAAACCTAACAAACAATTCATAGATACTAGGCAACTTTCAACTGACGTTATTTCATTCTTCCCAGTTTTCACTAGCCATTAGACCAGAATTTATACTTGCTCAAAAACAATCTCACATCAACAGATACCGTACAAAAATCACTGAGGTCTGTACCATCATAAAAGTGTAAAGAGTAAGGCATAAATGTCAGCATTCTGGCACATTCTAAGGATGACAGCGAAAAATTAGGGCAGGGTATTTTTAAACCAATCGGCTTGTAAACCTACACCTGGTATATAAAGTTCTGGCTTACTCTGCCAACAGTCATCTGTCGCAGACGCTTCAAGAGAAGAGTTGCTGGGGGGGGGGGGGGAACACATCAAGTGTAGAAGATGTGTTCAAAAATAGAAAATACTACCCTTGAACTTCACAGTTCGCTCTCCAAAGAAAGTTTTAGAAGTTTTAAGTCTGGAAACTGAGAAATAATTACTTTATGTGCTTTCCATACGAGGTTAAGGTCTCTCCAATAAGAGTATTCATTACAAGGAATATGTAGAACAAGGCTAAAGACTGAAGCAAGAGGTAAGAAGAACTTCCACTAAATAGTGCAAACTTGATTACTTAATGTCTTAGTTGTCATGCCATTTTATTCTGAGATGATAGCTTACAAATCAGTTCCTGAAAATGGATTATGTCTACATAAAAGTTACTTATTTTGAAACAAATCTTAAGTATCTGAATGCAAACTGAATAGTTTAAAAGGCCTACCTGACTTTGTCTTGTAGAAAAGTAAGGTTGAATTTAAGACAGCTCTGAAAGTTGTGACTCTAATCTTGAAACTTGCAGAAACATGTAAACTATACCAGCAAGGTTCTGAAATTCTGAATGGTAAACTGTATATTATTTACATAAGAAAAAGCGTGTATTATTACAGCATGGACAAGGTATCAGCAGTAGTAGTAAAAATCCATGATGAATCAATTTTTTCTGCACTTTGCCAGCAACTTGTATTATCTGTCTCAAGCTTGGGTTTTTCCAAATAAGACTTTCTTAGTATGATTAGCAGATGAAAAAATCAAACTATGGTTTGTTTTTTTCCGTAAGATTATAATCATTTTCTTGGGAACATTTAAATAACTCTCCCTAATTAGATTCTCTACTTAGTTGTGGAAAAAAAAAAAAAAAAACCCAACCCACACAAGTGGAAAGTAAAACATAAAACAAAAATGAAACTGAATGGCTAAGGGCAGGAGGGGAATAGGAGGATGTAAGAGAAAAAACAGGTTTCAAAGGCTGGTTACTTAAAAATTGGCTTCTATTAGAATTGTTATGAATACTTATGAAAATAAATAATTTCAGAACCTTGAACTGATTCTTCTATCCTTCCAACTCTCATCGTCTTAAATATCTAACAGCAGTTTTCAAGCTGAATAAATCAAAGCACATGGAAATTCAGTAGTTTACACTGATGACCCTTAATGCATTCTGAGTTCTTCTGTCCTTGAATTTGTCCTCGAGCAACGGCATAGGTGGCAAGTAACATCCTGAGATGCCTGGCTTAAATGCAGACCACCAACAAAAAACAAGCAGACTGCTTTTAGAAATAGTCTGCTACAGGATCTACTTTTTCATAAAAAAAAAAAAATGTAAAATTTAGAAAGCTCAATTGTTTAAAATAACCAAAATACAGTCCAGGTTTTCATTATAATATGTGTATGAATCTTAATTTCTATTATACAACTGATTATAAAACAATAATCTAACTTTTGCTCTTTCTCTCCATCTCCTGATCTCTCTCCCTCTCTCTAGATCTCTCTTATGCTCTCCTTCTCCTTCTTTTTCCTTCTTCGTCCCTTCCCTCTGGTCTGTCGGATTTCCCCCAATAAACCCTTTCCCTTAAAAAAATAATCTAACTTTTATTAATTCATGAAACTTAACAATATAATCCTAGTATATAATATTTCAGGGGCAAGACACATAGACACAAGATAAAAATCAGTACTCTTTATTACTGGCTTTAATAAATAGTTCCTAAATTGAGTGACACAAAACACGTGACTATCAACAAAATTAAGTCACATGGCAACTGAAAGAGTAACAAAATTGGATTTTACAGTGTCTTCTACTAACCTGGAAAAAGATTTCTAATGACATTTTGCTTTTTCTTAACATCTACACACCAAACAAGAAACTCTTAAAATGCCATTGTAGAAAATGTAATTTCTGAGACCTAATACACCTCCAAGTTTTGCACATTCATATCTCTACAAACTATAAAGCAGTTTTGCATTATTCTGGATCATTTTACTTTCCTAATTTGTATTTTATAATGTTCAAAGTTTCAACAAGACACAGAATCAAGTAAGAACCATAATAAAGTTACTAAGCAAGCCAAACTTATATGTTTAGATGAACTGTACACACTTACCCTGAAGGTAACCGGACCAGCTACACCACGGAAAGAAAATTCTTCCTGTCTGAGAAGTGCTAATATAGTACAAGGTGCAACCGAGGGCGGTTCCAAAAGTCTTGAGTAAGGCCTATGCAAAAACAGTCCTGTGACGCACTGCCCACAGTGCTTCATTATGCTCTGTGCTACAGCCTTGCAAGCTCTGAACCAGTCACCAGTCGATAGAACGTGATCAATTGAAAACATTGGATGGTTAAGAGAAGGCAGATCTGTACCATCAGAACACTGTGCAACTGGCTCTGCCAGGAAAAAAGAAACCTCTACAATAACAACTAAAAATATGCCTTTTCTTGTGGTGTTTTTAGGCTTGTCAGTGTGCTTGTGATGTATGCACTTTCCTGTACAAATACTGTATTTCAATACAAAATAAAAAAGGTGAGGTTATGACTGCCAGGGCTGGCGGAAAGCGGATGGTGAGTTATTGCTCAATGAGTATAGTTTCAGTTTCAGAAGAGTTCTAGAGGTGGAGGGTGTAGATGGTTGCATAACAATGCCAATGTACTCAATGTCACCAACCTGTACACTGAAAAAGTTACAATGGTCCCTTTTATTCTGTGTATATTTTATCACAGTTCAATTTAAAAATTAGCTCACTTAAGGCCCATGAGCATATGTGAAAGCGGGGTCAACAGAATGTTCATCGAGAGTGGTGTTTATATTTATTTTTTCTTCAAAATTTTCTTTATTTTTTGGTAAACATTAACAAGACCAGGCCATATAATCCAAAACAAACAACAGAAATTAATTTTTATTTTTTACAACTTGGAAAAACATTCCTTTCCTGTTAGATATAACAGCAGTCAAACTGCCACGAAGAAAATCTAAACCTGAGGAGCTTGAAGGCAATGCCCTAACACCATGTGGCAGGGCCTGAGAGATAAGCCAGGACCTGGGCTACTGGAAGCTTTATCACAGAGCACATAGCTAAGCCACACTTATGTAAATAAATGTTTACATTAGCTTTCTTTCCACTGTGACCTGAAACCTTAACCCAGGCAATATTTCAGCAAACTCTGTGAAAGGGCATTCTCTATTAAAACCCATAAAAAGTTTTAAGTTGCTTTCTTAAAAAAAAAAAAAAAAAAGTCACCAACAAATTATCCAAATTTGGTATCTACCAACTGTGAAATTTTTGGCAGTTATCTGATTTTAATGAGAAGATTCATAACAAAATATTCCCTTAAGAGCACAACCTATGATATCTAATTAATAATGGAAGCTCATAGGCAGAAAAGGGGGTACAGTTTGATTATATTTCTGTACTTTTTAAGTGTGAAAACTTTCAAAATGCCCTTTAACTTATTACTACAGGTTGCAATGACAGACATTTTAAATATCACTTTGAAAGATGTCTCACAGATAAATCACCTTCAGCAACAATGAACATTGGAGTCACCATGTTCCACAACCATTCCAGAGGGCTATTTGCAAATACTATTATTAAAAGCCCTAGAAATGCACATTCCTTTTTTTTGTGTGTGAGTTATTTATTTATTTAAAAGTCAGAGTTACACAGAGAGAGGAGAGGCAGAGAGAGAGAAAGAGAGAGGTCTTCCATCCACTGGTTCACTCCCCAGTGGCTGCAACGGCCAGAGCTGAGCCAATCCAAAGCCAGGAGCCAGGAGTTTCCTCCTGGTCTCCCATGTGGGTGCAGGGGCCCAAGGACTTGGACTATCATCTACTGCTTTCCCAGGCCATAGCAGAGAGCTGGATTGGAAGTGGAGAAGCCAGGACTCGAACTGGCGCCCATATAGGGTGCTGGTACTGCAGGCTGCAGCCTTACCCACTACACCACGGCACTGGCCCCACACATCCCCTTTAACACAATTTTGTGCCAGAATAAGATGGTCCACAATGTTTTAGTTACAAGGATGAAAACGGCAGATTTGCTTTATACTGGGAAACTGGAAACCATCTAAATGTCAGTCCTAAAAGTTCATTAATGGCGGAGGCTGGTGCTGTGGCACAGCAGGTTAACACCCTGGCCTGGAAGCGCTGGCATCCCATATGGGCACTGGTTCGAGACCCAGCTGCTCCTCTTCCAATCCAGCTCTCTGCTATGGCCTGGGAAAGCAGTTAGAAGATGGCCCAAGTGCTTGGGCCCCTGCACCCATGTGGGAGACCAGGAAGCTCCTGGCTCCTGGCTTCGGATCAGCAAAGTTCCGGCCACTGCGGCAAACTGGGGAATGAACCAGCAGATGGAAGACCTCTTTCTCTCTCTCTCTCTGCCTCTCCTTCTCTCTCTGTGTAACTCTGACTTTCAAATAAATAAATAAATCTTAAAAAAAAAAAAAATTCATGCCGGCGCTGTGGCTCACTAGGCTAATCCTCTGCCTGCGGCGGCGGCACACCAGGTTCTAGTGCCAGTCAGGGCTCCAGATTCTGTCCCGGTTGCCCCTCTTCCAGTCCAGCTCTCTGCTGTGGCCCAGGAGTGCAGTGGAGGATGGCCCAAGTGCTTGGGCCCTGCACCCCATGGGAGACCAGGAGAAGCACCTGGCTCCTGCCTTCGGATCAGCGTGGTGCGCCGGCCACAGCGGCCATTGGAGGGTGAACCAATGGCAAAAGGAAGACCTTTCTCTCTGTCTCTCTCTCTCACTGTCCACTCTGCCTGTCAAAAAAAAAAAAAAAAAAAAAGTTCATTAATGGGGCCGACGCTGTGGTGTAGCGGGTAAAGCATCCCATACGGGTGCTGATTCACGTCCCAGCTGTTCCACTTCTGACCCAGCTCTCTGCTGTGGCCTGGGAAAGCAGTGGAAGATGGCCCAAGTCCTTGGGCCCCTGCACCCACGTGGCTTCAGATCAGGCAGCTCTGGCCATTACAGCCATTTGGATAGTAGACCAGTGGATGAAAGACTTCTCTCTGTAACTCTGCCTTTCAAATAAATAAATAAATAAATCTTTTTTTAAAAAAGTTCATCAATGCAGGACTGGGAATTGTAATATGCATACATAAAATTATATAGCTGTTGAAAGTGGTTATTATAAATAGCTAAAATGCATCATGTTTACTATATACCTGATAGTTCTAAGCACTTCACACACCTTGTCTTGGAGAAACAACCCTAGAAGGCACATGTTATTATTATTCTCATTTTAGAGATGAGTCAATTAA